ATTAATATCATGAGCATCGATCCACGCAATTGGAATCGATGACATGCTTCAACCAAGTCAGCGAGCCTGACCACCCGATCCCGTTAGTCGCCTTTTACGGCAAGCATGTGTTGCTGAAGACCTTTTCTATACCCCGGAATCTTCACGGGTCAAGAGGTATTGGGATGAAACTGATTTTCAAAATAAAAACAAATATAAACCTTAATCATTCACTCACACACAGACATCATCCACTGTGACCAGTGACTACGAGACAACTATAGCAATGCACAAGGAAATATAGGGTGCACGGGTGGCCCAGTCGCCTAAGGCGCCGCGATTCGCTGTGCAGTGTTGCGTCCCTTGGGCACGCCAGAAACCTATAATTGTGGGTTCGAATCCTGGTTCTCCCCGATTATGTTTCTAGGTTTGTCAGCACTTTACCTGTGCTCGTGGGTTTCACCGAAGTGGTAAACGTCCGAGACCTGCATCACTTCGGGCTTTCCTCCCTCATTAAGCCGACACGCCGCGATATAACTGGAATAATGTTAAAAGCGGCGTTAAACCCAACGCACTCGATCACTCACAAGGAAATATATTTTTGTAAAATACAAAAATCAACAGTAGGTGAACAGTACATAAAATTAATCAGCAAACAGTGATAAATTTACATTGCCCACTTGGTATAAAATTCGGAAACATCATTTTCCCTCACACGGATTGTTCTTTCAATGTAATATTTTTCGTTCGATTCCTTTTCAAATGTTTAGTGACATTTATTACATGTGCATTAATAAATGTAAAAGTCTGCCAAAAGTAAAAACAAAAAATATCTTCAGTTTATATCATTATCATAGCCAAATATTATTAATTCGTTCACTTAGTTTTTCTGTTCTCAGCGCTAGGTAAAACCATCATGTCCTGTTGACGCAACATGTTTTTTGTGTTCAAATGTTGATAACACCTACATGTGAAATGGTATATCACCCATTAGCGATCCCAGGCACTTTATGCGTCCAGTCTGATTACAAACTGACATTTTATAGCGTGATATGATGAAAACTCGGGGAATGAATACTGTGTTCAGCTTGACACAGCTGTACCTTGCGACATAGAGACACTGATTTCACAGTTCAAACACGGCCGAGGAACGTTTGGGTGTGACAGTTATCAAATGGCCATCAGTGGGTGTCCGTATGCGACATGTTTTGATAACACTATTTGTGAACTGTACTATAGAAAGGAATCACATGTTATCGACTAAATTAAGAATATTTTTAGTTCATAATATTATGAAGAAAGATTTTTTTTAAATTAAATATTTCAGTAAATCAATATTATAGTGTTAACATTGTATTTTGAAGCAAGCAAGGGTAGAAAACCCGATATTGAGAATTTAATTTTAAGTTTAGGCCCGTGGTTCAACAGGTGATTCATTTTGTATTATTGTCGTTAATCTTTTGTTTTTAAACACGTCTATATGAAACCTTTATATCTTTTATAATTATCATTATATTTGAGAAATCCATGTGGCAATGGAGGCTACTGCCCAGGGTGGGAGGAGCAGACCCATGTAAAATACATGTTGTAAGAAAGGATTTCTTTTCTTTTTTTTTAAAGAAAAAGGGACAAGGACAACATTCACTCACTTATTCCCTCTCTGCATATGTGGATGATACATCGTGCAAGCATTAGACAAAGAAGAGCAATTTCAATGTAAGCAAATAGTACCTGGCCACCTAGGTCACTCACAAAAAGAATGGTAGAGCCTCAATTTCTAACAAAACTTAATTTTGTGTATTTTAGCATTCATAAAATCAAGGGGCGGTCGGGTAGCCTAGTGGTTAAAGCGTTCGCTTGTCACGCCGAAGACCCGGGTTCGATTCCCGACATGGGTACAATGTGTGAAGCCCATTTCTGGTGTCCCTCGGCGTCATATTGCTGGAATATTGCTAAAAGCTGCGTAAAACCATAATCACACACACACTCACTCATAAAATCAATAATCCGAATAATGACCCTTTCAAAACAAATGTAGTGAAAAACATTATCTACTCCAACAGAATATCGCTATTTTAGAATACTGGTTCTGTAATAACATCTTCACAGGATTTTGGTAAACCTTTAAGTGAAACCCTATGAAAATAAATGATACAATCCTTCAAAAATATGTTGTACAATACTTACAAATATGCTTTGCAAATGTACTACCAAAAACTACGGTGGCCCATAAGGGACACGGAGTCTGTTTTTCAATATTTTGATATTTCACTTACATTTATCGTAACCTTTTGCAAATTAACACGATTTGTCTTACAAATATGTGATAAATCATGTTTAAAGAAGATACTGAATCGCTGAAAAACGAAACGAAATGTCAAAAACTAAAATGAAAATACAGAAAACTATATCCACCGCGGTGTAAATAGTTTTCACCTCGGTAAAAATATTATCACCGCGGTGGGAATATTATCACCGCGGTGGAAATAGTTTTCTGTGTATTCATTTTAGTTTTTGACATTTTCGTTTTGTGTTTTTGACATTTTCATTTTAGTTTTTGACATTTTCACTTCACATTTCAGCGACTCAAACGCTACTTAAAAGTACATTTTCTATGTTTTCGGATGTTTTTATACATGATTCATCACATATTTGTATGGCAGATTGTGTTAATTTGCAAAAGGTTAAGATAAAAGTAAGTTAAACATCAAAATATTGAAAAACAGACTCCATGTCCCTTATGGGCCACCGTAAAAAACAGATAACGTGTTACACTGCGAAAAGGTTCATAATAAACGTTTCTTCCATACAGGTTCAAGTGTGACTTCAGGTCTCAAATCCATCTAAGTATAAGCACATTGACAAACTCAAAGACCTCTATCCTACCAAGACCCCCACCCTGAATAGAATTACATGCAACTAGACCCGTGAAGATTCGGAGTAGAATTGGTCTTCAGCAACCAATGCTTGCCGTAAAAGGCGACTATGCTTGTCGTAAGAGGCGACTAATGGGATCGGGTGGTCAGGCTCGCTGACTTGGTTGAAGCATGTCATCGATCCCAATTGCGTTGATCGATGCTCATGATATTAATCACTGGATTGTCTGGTCCAGACTCGATTATTTACAGACCGCCGTCATATAGCTGGAATATTGCTGAGTGCGGCGTTAAACAACAAACCAACACCCCCCACTAACAAAACAACAACAACAAGCAACACCATGCAACTGATCTCTTTATTTATCCACTTAATTTTTCCGCTCCAAAGAAATGTAAATACAATTTTGTAAAGTTCTTTCAGAAGCTTCCCTGGCGGGTTTGGAAGAGTTACAAACAGGTAATTGAGGTTTTAAACAAAATAGGATTTGATAATTGCAAGTCTACCAAGCGGTGTAAATAACTCATTTCACCCTTCTATTAATTATCTGACATATTTCAAATAATTTGTTTTCATAGGTTGTTTTCAGTGTTCTTGCTCGGGTCAGTTAAGAAGTTTATTCCCCAAGCCTTAAACAATTCAGGGTTCCACTCAAATTTCAAATTGGTAAAAATGTTTTTACTAAGAATCAATCCAAACAACTTGATATTTATCAAAGTTAACCTTGAGACCAGATATCTAAGCATATACATGTAACAAATTCACAGTAGCTTCAAAAGATTTTCTGGAACCATCCAATTTAAATTCGGTATCATCTGCATTCTAAGTAAGAAACTATTCTTCATCATTCACTGTTATACCTTTGATATCTGCATTTTCCCATCGTCTAGGCTTATCACCTTTATGTTTTGTTTGTTTATTTGTTTGTTTGTTGTTTAACGCCGCACTCAGCAATATGACGGCGCTCTGTAAATAATCGAGTCTGGGCCAGACAATACAGTGATTGACATCATGAGCATCGATCTACGCAATTGGGATCGATGACATGCATCAACCAAGTCAGCGAGCCTGACCACCCGATCCCGTTAATCGCCTCTTACAACAAACATAGTCACGTGTTGTGGCAAGCATGGGTTGCTGAAGACCCCGGATCTTCACAGATCAGTAGTAAAAGAAACAAGTGAGACCGCCTTATCTGTTTCATATGCAGATCTAGGCAGGGGGGATGACGTCAACTTTCCAAAACTTAACTATTCCTTTATGTCCAGCAATATTCCAGCAGCTCCCGTCTTTGGTGAAAATAATGAAAGAGCAGATGAAACGTGTGTCTTGCAAGAATTGTGACAATCTTGAAGAGTTCTGAACATGTAAATAGTTTCAAAGTTCCGAACATATAAATAATATAATGGACAGGTGACCCCTTCACAGAATTAAATGATACCTTGTGTGAAACAACTACCCTATATGCATGATTATTCAATGTATACACCATCTGTCAAGGAAAATCGAAAGAGCATTTGAAATTGTGTTTTGCAAGAATTGTGTCAATCTGGTAGAGCTCTGAACGTGTAAATAATAATGGGCCGGTGACCCCTTTACAGAAATAAACACTTCCTCAACTGTCGTTAAAATAGAATTATTGTTCAATTTCAAAACTCAGGGCATGTTTAAGTTCTGAGGTTCGGTGTTCAAACCGATGACATTTTCATCCCTACTCTTTTTCAGTATTTTCGATCTTTACACATCAGCAGACATTAAGTCGAATAGGTGGTGTACGTATTACAGCAATTTTATTAAGCTATTTTGTAATCTGTTTTGACAAAATTATTTGATAACCCCCCAAACAAATTGCCCAATAAAAAATGCTCCCCTCCTTTTAGAAAATATGTCCTAAGTGGTGTACTTTTGTCAGTCTTTTAAAAATAAATATGAAACAGAACTTCGTAACATTCAAAGTCAAATTTGTATCTATTCCAAGTCTTTGCTTGTGATATCAGACGGTGAAACAAAACAACATGATAAACACAGTCACGCACATTAAAGTCGAACATCCTGTTCGGAGATAGCGCACATGTTTCAGGTGTAAAACTACAAGTTTATATTTCACATCAGGGCGTCACATTTGGATGCCACAGATACGTGCAACTGACAGGTCGAAAACGCGAAAAGCAAGTGTTGTCAGGTTTGGCTGGCACCCACTGTTTATATAAAGCGAGGCAATGTGATCGTGGTGACGTAGTTCAACGTGAAGATACGTGGTGAGTATTTCAAGCGTTTCTCATTTGTTTTATATTCAATGGTCTGGGTACTGAAATTCACTCTGTAGAATTGCATAAATTAGTCGTGAGGTGATCTAGTGATCGTGTGTTCAGATCATTAATTAGGCCTGATTGTGATAATTGGACTCTAACCATCCCACCCATGAGTTAGACCACATTGGTACACGTTTAGGACCTGCGGCATTGTGTCTTTCCTTTAAACTTCAGCTACTCATTCAAATAACTGATACCCGTGAAGATCCGGGTTAAATTCAGTCTTCAGCAACCCATGCTTGTCGTAAAAGGCGACTTACGGGATCAGGTGGTGGGGCTCGCTGACTTGGTTGATGCATGTCACGTGTCCCAATTGGATAGATCGATGCTCATGATGTCAATCACTGGATTGAAACAACTGGTATACTGTTCAAAGCGGCGTTAAACCCAAACTCACTCACTCACTCTTCATATTCCCCTTCAGACGTTATGAAACTGCTACTGCTGTTTGTCCTCGTGTGTCTGGTGGCGCCATCTGTTGGGTGGAGAAGACGGAGATTTAGATTCAGGTTGAGAAAGGCTCTAACCGCGGTACAAGTTTATAAGGCTGTCGGACCACTTCTTGGTAAAAGAGGTAAGGGAATCTTAAATATTCGTGAGTGTTTTACGAGTTATTATACAGGAGCACACTTTATATATTCTCTATTTGAAAAATGCATTGTATTAATTTTGATTTTGATATCCACGCGATTGTCCCTAGACACTGTTGTAACTACTGACACCAACTAGTAAAGAATAGTTCGGCCCAGGTACCGATAAGATTTGATTCCTGAATTTAGAGTTTGATCAGTTGTTGAAATTCATCAATTGAATATTATGTTCTGAGTGAGTGAGTGAGTACGGTTTTACGCCGCTTTTAGCAATATTCCAGCAATAGCACGGCGGGGGACACCAGAATATTATGTTCTGAAACTAATAGGGGCACGGTGGTGTAGTGATCTTCGGCAACCGTCATTCCAGTCAAGATCCTTTGGTCGTTGGTTTGAATCTGATTCGCCTCAATTTTGATTTGCTTGTACCGTGTTCGTGGGCGGTTCAGTCGTCTTAGGCCCCGCAATTCGCTGTGCAGAGTTGCGTCCCTTGGGTACGACAAAAACCTATGGTCGTAGGTTCGAATTCCGGTTCGTCCCGATTATGTTTCTAGGTTTGTCTGCACCATACCCGTGCTCGTGGGTTTCACCAAATTGGTAAACGTCTGAGACCTGCATCATTTCTGGCTTTCCTCCCACATCAAGCTGACAGGCGATGACATGACTGGACTATTGTTCAAAGCGGGGTAAAACCCAACTCACTCACTGAGTACTGTCGCATAATCCTGTACACTGTATATTTTCACCAAATAATGTGACGGGAAACTATTGAGTATTTTTCATTTATTTGGCAGACGTTGCGAGTCTCGACCTGAACCAGGACGGGTATATTGACCAATCAGAGGCCGAGGAGCAACTCAGCAAAAAGGATGCGGATGCCCTGATGCAGATGAGCGATGAAGGAGACGGTGGGTGGTTCACAATGTACTCTAAACTGAGAGGCAAAGGAAACTACACCTCTCAGTTGATTTTATCATGTTTTTCATTGTCAGTTGAGGGCCGCCTCCGTGGTCTAATGGCAGAGCGTCCGCCCGGAGAGCGGAAGGTCCGGGGTTCGATCCCCGACCGCGTCATACCAAAAGACGTTAAAAGATGGTATTTGTTGTTACCCTGTCTGGCGCTCGGCATTACGGGGCTAAAACAAGGACTAGTCGGCTCGGAGTCAGTGAGTCATGTTAAACTGCGGCATGGTATCTCAGTGAGCTAGCACTATAAATCGGCATCAGTCCGGACTAGTACAAGCAGCCACACACATACATACACGTGCATGCACGTCGCTATATAAGTGCAATAATCTTGGACGCGACGTTAAACCCCATTTCACCTCACCTCACCTCATTGTCAGTTGAAAATATCTTAATGAACTGTACTGGCGCTTAGAAAACTCTCAGGGAATACTTTTACATGCTTTTTTTATTTTTTAAGATATAATTTGATTTACAACTTTTTAAAATTAAAAAAATCGCATAATACGCAAATGCTGAATGGGTATGTTAGATATTTTATCTTTGAAAATCAATTCACTTGTCCCCAGTCTTCATTGAACCAATCTATTTTTACAACAACAAAAAATCACCCAGAATGGGTGATGGTTTAATAGACATAATCAAAGTTTAAAAACAGTTCTTTCAATTTCGGTATACTTTCTTTTGTCCCGCTTTCATATTTGATTCTTCAAGAATTCTACAGTAGTTAATCTGTCGTGCCCTGAGTAGTATACTTCAGGCACTATAAGAAACATATTTATCTGTCCTTGATTTGCATGCGCTAAGCGGTAGATTTTTTAGCAATCTCCTACCCAGAGTTCCATGCGGCCAGCATAGTGCCTCTGCCACAGGTCAACGCCATGTGACGATTCGCCACATCTTATACAGTCCATTTAAGATGTTGCATATGTTTTTCATCTGTTTCATTTTTTACGAGTCTACAAATCTAGATAAGCATATGTCATAGAATGGTTAACTTTCACTGAGTTCCAATATGAAAAGAAATATTTATTAGTACCAGATACTTTTACAACAAGATTCAGCGAGCGCTGTTGTGACGCCTATATTAATATTTATGTTAGAGCAGATAGAATAAGAGTTATCGTTCTTGTTTGAAGTAGCTCTCGTGTTCCTACGCCAACATGGGCACCTTCAAGAGGGGCACGAGAGTAGATTTGGCTTGTTCCGGATTGGGACGAGTTGGTCGCTGCGTCGTCGTGTGGAGTTTGATATAAGTTTTATATAACTTCCGGTGCGTACACGCTCCAGTCCCCTATAACCAGCACAGGACAAAGTTGACCAGTCCAGTATACGCTGCCATCTGATTCTCCTCCAGTTGTACGTGTTGTTGTTACCGTTGACATGATACATCTTGCATTAATTTCAGGTGCTCTGCCTGTCAGCGAGTTTGTGAGGATGGTTCACGAATAGCCCAGATACTTCTCATGTAAGTAGAAAGTTAGGCCAGACACCATATACGGTCGGTATATGGTCTCTGGTTAGTCTTTGATCTATCTCATTAAAATTAGATGTTAGTGCTCGCTGCCGCTACACAAAGTTTGAAAGATCTGAGCACATCCCATTACAGGCCTCGTCTGGCGCTCGATAGTCATGGGTTTGAAATAAGGAGTCGGCTCCGTGTCTGAGTGGGGTATCCATGTCAAAGTGCGGTATGGTATATCTGTGGGTTAGCACTATAAAACTGTCGTTTGCAAGGAAGGTAAATCTTGTAAAGGGTTTATCAATATCAAGGAGGGGCGTTGGGTAGCCTTGTGGTTAAAGCGTTCGCTCGTCACGCCAAATGCCCGGGTTCGATTCCCCACATGGGTACAATTTCTGGTGTCCCCCGCCTAGGTATTGCTGGAAGATTGCTAAAAGGGGCGACTCACTCACTCACACAATATTGTTAGTATATTTAAAATAACCGTTCTCCAACAGACATTTAACTCATTTCGAAAATATTATAAACAGACATCATGCAAACAGTTTCCAGGGGGCACGGGTGGCCCAGTCGTCTAAGGTGCAGAGTTGCGTCTCTTGGGCACGCCAGAAACCTATGATTATGAGTTCGAATCCCGGTTCCGATTATTTTTCTAGGTTTGTCAGCACCATACCCGTGCTCGTGGGTTTCACCGAAGTGGTAAACGTCTGAGACCTGCATCACTTCGAGCTTTCCTCACACATAAAGCTGACACGCCGTGATATAACTGGAAGACTGTTAAACGCGGCGTTAAACCCAACTCACTCACTCATGCAGTTTCCGCCTACCTTTCAAATGACAGCAATGCACGTGAACGTCATGCATGGACGGCAAGCATGCATTCGCTTCACGCCGCTCAATATTTTAACATTTCACTCACTCACTCACTGTTGTGGGGGGTCGGGTAGCCTTGTGGTTAAAGCGTTCTCTCGTCACGCCGAAGACCCGGGTTCGATTCCCGACATTGGTACAATGTGTGAAACCCATTTCTAGTGTCCCCCACCGTGATATTGCTGGAATATTGCTTAAAGCGGCGTTAAAACCAAACTCACTCACTCACTGTAGTCATGGGAATGATCCTTATTTTTATTGAAATGTCTTCGTTTCTGTTTCAGCTGGCGCGATGACAGCCAAATCGTGATCCTGTACCACACACATGATACAAAATAAATAAATCTGCAATGCAACAATGTTGTAACTTTTATATTAATCACCATGGCGCCATCCTACTGTTCAACTTCATCAGTGGGCAGTTTGGAACTCAAGCTGTCCTTCCCCATCCAGGCTCCTCTAGGATTCTAGGGATGGGTAGGTCCCCAGTACCCCCTAGATGTGATGGGTAGATCCCCAGTACCCCCTAGTTGTGATGGGTAGGTCCCCAGTACCCCCTAGATGTGATGGGTAGGTCCCTAGTACCCCCTAGTTGTGATGGGTAGGTCCCCAGTACCCCCTAGTTGTGATGGGTAGGTCCCCAGTACCCCCTAGTTGTGATGGGTAGGTCCCCAGTACCCCCTAGTTGTGATGGGTAGGTCCCCAGTACCCCCTAGATGTGATGGGTAGGTCCCCAGTACCCCTAGTTGTGTTAAGAGCCCACCAAAGAGGAGCCAGTGACTTATTGCGTGTCATCCTTCCCCAATTGCATGAACGCTGCTCATGATTTCAGTCACTGGTTTGTCTGGCCCAGCCTGGATTATTTTCAGGGCGCTGTGATGTAGCTGATGTTGCTGATTGTTGCGTTAAACTATATCCACTCCCTCCAACGCACGGTCACAGATTATATAACCAACCCGTGAAGATCCGAAGATTCAGCAACCCATGCTTGTCGTAAGAGGCGACTAACGGGATCGGGTGGTCAGGCTCGCTGACTTGGTTGATGCATGTCATCGTATCCCAATTGTTCGATGCTCGTGATGTCAATCACTGGATTGTCTGGTCCAGACTCGATTATTTACAGACAGGCTTCATACAGATGGAATATTGGTGAGCGCGTCGTTAAACAACAAACAAAACAAAGCTGAATGTTGCGTAAAACAATATTCACTCACTCCATACTGCCATAGATAATAACCAGTCATACGATAAGCAAACGGAATAAAATGATTATTGTCAGCAGTGCCATACCATATAGATGTGATGGTAACGTTATCGTATTGGTACATACGTGAGACAATTAGATTGAAAAACAAAACCCGTAATTAATCAACTGGATTAACTACCGGGTTCCTGATATGAAAAAAAACACTTGTAAAAGTATTCCATTTCAAATGGTAAATTTTAATGTTGGTCTTAATACCAAAGTGACAAAGGGCATCACATTTACTACTTTGGTGACATTAATAAAGAGTAGTAAGCTGGACGAATCTCAGATTCGATCCAAGAATATTCTGGGCGAAAGGGACATTCGTCACAACTCGCCTCTTTCCGTAACCTGCAAGAAGACTCGTCCCCCTGTCGATGAATGGTATGTGCGAAAATACGACAAACCAATCAGAACGCGCGTATGATTTCAAGTTCTTCGTCAAAGAATCCCTCAGAAATATGTTTTGATTTTACATATATCTTGCATCTAAAAATATACCCAAGGCACAGTTAAATGTGTTCAATCATACTGTATAATTCCGCATGTCCAGATGTGCTTTAAATTGCATCTGAAATATATATAATATATGGGGAAATATATGTGAACCATAACGCGACGAGTTGACAATTATTTTAGGTATGCCCGTTTGCGCTAAGACGGAACCCGGACGCAAAAATGGCCATGAGAGGGGCACGAGTCGCTATTCGGCTCGTCCCGGAATAACACGAGTTGGTCACGAATGCGAAAGGGATAAACCTCTTTTTTTTAGTAGGCAACCGTGAAGATCTGGGTTAGAATCGGTCTTCAGCAACCCATGCTTGTGGTTAGAGGCGACAAACGGGATCGGGTGGTCAGGCTCGCTGACTTGGTTGAAGCATATCCTTGTATCCCATTTGTGTGGCTTGATGATCAAGACGTGACAGGGTAACAACAACTACCGTATTTTAGCTATCTAGTTAGGACGCGGCGTGGTATCGAACCACCGACCTTCCGCTCTCCAGGCAGGCGCTCTATCCCCTAGACCACGGTGACGGCCCATAACGGGCATAGTCTGCCTTTTCTCCACCAAGATAAACGCAAAAATGTATTGAAGTCAATCCTTGAATAACCAGCGTCTCGAGCTCAAAGGGGTATCGCTGACCAGTTTTAGTGACAGATAGTCTTTTTAGATGAAATTCTGCGATTACGCCATGGCAGATTTGCAGAAAATGTAACTTTATCGTGGAATTTGCTTTTTGTTATCAATCAATACAATCAGTTTCATCATTTTAATAGAATTGTAGCACTCAAATTATGCCTAGACATTTTACATGCGATTCAAATATACAAAACATGAATCCTGCAATAAAACAAAACCTGAAATAAATAATTCTCACTTTTAAATATTCTTGTGGTTATGACTACTTAAACTATGTTTACTTCTAACCGTAAATAAATATCGATGACACTGTGACTATATGTATTTGCAGTATTTTCTGTCATGAAATGTGTAAATGCAAGAGATTAAAATGTTTAATGACAAAATGAATTTGTATTAATATTTGAGCCAGAAAACGCAGAATTGTGCAATTTTAGCCTAAGACTTTTGACAATTTTAACGCAGAATTCGTCTGTGATTGGACGGAGAGATTAGCGATGTCTTTGATTGTGACGTCATGGTCATTGTGCATAGTGATGCAGTGTAATTGTAGTGATTTATTACTTGCCCGTGAAGAGATCACCCGTTTAATAAACATACAGCTGTATTACACATTGTGTAATACCAAAACGCGTGCTTATGTACTCTCGGAACACGTTTCACGAACAAATATTGAAAGCTCTCAACATCCCTTGGCTTATTCAACGACATTGCGTGTGGAGATGATGTCACTGAGAGGAGCTTATGCACACTCGATGACCCCAGCAACCTTGTTGCCAGGTTGACGTCACATGGCATTGTTTCGCCGTAGGATCTTGCAACAAAATTCCACAAATGACGTCATCGGGTATTGTGACGTGATTGTCAACTTTGAGGTGCAACGCCCCGTTCCATAAGGCGATCGTACGGTAGCGCAACGACAGTCGTTGGTCTAAGTTAAAGTATATGAGTTGCGACAACCTTAAGGCTACGATAATTTTGTGGAACGGACGCCTGAATTCTAAAGGTGGACCGTTGGATGGTATTAAATTCATACGTTTCAACTTTTGACGTATTTGAAGTATTACTGTGTTAAACTCAGTTGGATTATGCCGTGGATCGTGTAGGTGTCAGCCTATTCACACTCAACAGTATAATTCTAAACACGTTATAAATGGCCAGTAATAAATAAAATACTAAACTCGCTCCCGTGTAAAACCAATTTTATGAAACTCGTGAACAGTTGTGGTATCTGACTCGCTTTCGCTCGTCAGATACCAGAACTATTCACTCGTTTCATAAAATTGGTATTACACGGGAGCTCGTTTAGTATTCTATATATCTCCTAGAATTATCACTTGATCCCAAAAAGTGATATCTCCAGTGGAAGCCAGTTTTGGTGATAAATAGAGGATGTTTCATGTGTCGAGTGAAATATCATGATTCTCTCATCGAGTGTCAGTTTTGGAAGATAAATATGTTTTTACAGCTTCAGGCTACCTGTTATGGCAGTCGTATTCTTCTCAAAGATTGAATAGGCTCCTATTTTTTAAATACGCAAAGTCATTTGATTTATTCAACGCTGTGTAAACGAGTGCATTTGAACAACAGGGTGATGTGGTGCAAAATAAATGTATATGTTAATTTATGGTCAGTTGATGTGCCTTGAGCAATCTGTCATCTGCCATCAATCATGAGATGTATTAAAATAAACTGGATTTTCACTTTTCCAGGTATTTTCATATACTGTTTTCGTAAATGATAAAAATATACGTAAATATATGTGGGGAATCGAACCCGTGCCTTCAAGGTGACTTTAGCGAACATGTAACTCTCCGGACACAGTTGTTGTTTTGTTTGTTTGTTTGTTGTTTAACGCCGCACTCCGCCATATTCCAGCTATATGACGGCGGTCTGTAAATATTCGAATCTGGACCAGACTATCCAGCGATTGACAACATGAGCATCGATCCACGCAATTGGGGTTCGATGACATGCATCAACCAAGTCAGAGAGCCTGACCATTCATTCCGTCAGTCCTACTCTGATCTTCATGGGTGAGTATGTCCTGTCATAAGTCAATATGCGGATAGTGTCGCAAAAAGAACGATAAATTAGTGGAGGCTTATACAATTCATGACACTAGTGGCTGAAGGGATGGGTCGAAAAACCCGTAAATGAACCCGTCGTTTCACTGGGAACAAGCGACCGTGCAGATCAAGATACCCACTGGGCCAAAAGTCACGTGACGGTCTTATAAACACACAGAAAATGGCGTCATCGTTTGCGCGTGTTTGAAGTAAATATTGATCATTGGTCAGCGTTAAAAGAGCAGTCAGCGTCAAGTGACGACACACAGCCGAAAACTTACCGTGTTCACGGACTTTTCAAGTATATATGGTGAATATTCAACATACAAGACGTTACAAGATAATATCTGAATTCTATTATTGTTCGGAAAACTTTGTGGATAATTTGTTGAACAAATTTTAGAAAAAGTGGCACTTGGTATTTTAAGAATTCAACATATTATCTTGTAAGTCAAATTATTGTTTGTAATTTTCAAAACAGATGTATATTTATTTAATGTTCAAACGCCACCCATGGGGTTGTGTGGGTGGAGTTGGGGAGGTGGGGTCACAAGGCGCAAACTATTTGATATTCTGGGAGGGCCTGGGATTTTATCGAAAAAAATCAATTGTCCCAGAAAATACTTGAAAAATATGCTTCAGACTGTTGATAAAGAAAAGAAATTGTCTTCCACCAAAATTACATTGTTGCAAGGTTTTTTTCTTTAAAAAGTATTCAAGCTCATTGGATTAAAAGAAATATCCAGTTTGCAATGGTAGCTGAAAAAATATCTAATCCCCAACCCCCAACCCCCACACCACCAAGAGTATCACATGGTTGGTACCTTAGCACAAAAGTCCCAGCAACCTCTACTGGTCGGAAGAGTGACAAAATGGACTGGGTGGTCAGACTTGGTTGATTGGGTGTCATGGTAACCTGATGGTGTGGATCGTTGCTTGTTATGTCAATCACTGGATTGTCTGGTATCGATTATTTAAAGACCATCGTCATATAGCTAGAATATTCCAGAGTGTGGCGTTAAACAACAAACAAACCATAAATCCTACCTTTTACTTAACACAGGCATACCGAAAAAATATTGAGAGTTTTCAGAATGTCACAACCCTGTCTGAAGGTCAGTGTTAGGTCACACTTACTTCCCTCATTATATTGTAAAAATAATTCTTACCACATCTGGGAAATTTTGTTGGCATATCTGTATCCATATTATTGAAAAAAGCCCCACAAAAAAAATTATCAGACTTTCCTCATTGCTCAAAATATCAATCACTGGATTGTCTGGTCCAGATTGAGTTATTTACATTTGGCCATCCTGTAGCTGGAATATTGCTGAGAGCAGCGTTAAACAACATTATGATACTCCTTATACATACTCCAGGCACCCATGAAGATCCGGGTAGAGAACAGGTCTTCAGCAACCCATGCTTGCCGTAACATGCAACTATGTTTATCGTAAGAGGTTTCTAACGGGATTGGGTGATATCCCATTTGGGTAGAATGATCTCATGATGTCAATCACTGGATTGTCTCGACTATTTACAGACCGCTGTCATATAGCTGGAATATTGCTGAGCGTGGTGTTCAACAAACGACAAACAACAAACATGCTTCAGCCAAACATTCATGCTCCCTGCAAATCACATCCATCGACAGTTGATGTATAAAGATGCCAAGAACATATTGTTTAAATTTTATAGTTTAATATAAAAATAAAATGCCTCACATTATGGAAAAAAAATGATAAAAAATCTAATGATTGAATTATTGTAGACTTATAGTTCCTTGTCCTTTTACACAGTGCAAACGATCACTATCACAATAGAATGGAGATATACACATGATAATCGAGGAAGGTAAACAGTAGAGCCACACCATTATATAGCCAATCAATATCCAGACCAGGGATGATTGATCTCCAATCTGGCCTCCTTTACCTGTCCTGCAGCCAACTCGTTGCTAAGCACAGGTGACACAATGGTACTGGCCCCTTTAATGGCGTCCACAGCATTCTCCTGCAGGGTTTTACTGCATCCTTTCCACCAACATATCGTGAATGACTGTAAATAGTGTATGTCGCGAGTCCTGTAAATAATTTGTGTTGCAAGTCCCGTGCCACAAAAATGCAAAAATTACAACACACCTTCATTGATTGGTTTGTCTGGCCAAAAGTCTTATTGTTGTTATTTGTGGACAGATTGTGCTTGGGTTTGTGGTTAAAATTAATTAATCATTATTAAAAAAAACAAACATTTACAAGATCTAAAAAGAATGATTAAAACTTTTTCTTAAAATAACATGAAACAAAAGTAGTTGTTCACTACAGTCTTCTTTGAAAAATGTCACCCTTAAGATTATAATTCACATGTGTGTAATTTTGGATGGGACCTTGAAATTAAATAGATATTTAAATTTAATATGTCTCATTAAACATAAAGTCAGGGGCTGGAACTGAAAGTTGCTGACTGCATTAATTTTTAATATGAGTTCTACGTTACAAGTTGTTCATGTGATAAAATATAGCTGTTTTTCAAAGATGTCACAACACATGACAACTCATATTTCTATTCAATAACTAAAACCAAGTTCTTTAAGAACTAGCATGAATGTAATTATGTTTCAACATCTTCTACACACACACACACACACACACACACACACACACACACACACACACACACACACACACACACCACTCCTCCTCTCCTACTCAGTCAGTACAACCAATCATTATGTAATCACTTTCTTCCAATAGTCATCACCCTAGTTACTTTAAAAATCTTCACAAACGTATAATTCCATGTTCAATAGCTTTCCTGAGTGTAGAAACAGTTCCTGTCAGGTTTGTAATACAGTGCCCGTCAATCACAAAGTCAGCCAAGCATGCACCTCATATGTCTAGAGCCCCGCCATGTCTTCAGCGACACGCTCCACTGACCTGACACAATAATACGCTAGGTAAGAGGACCTATTTGCTCGCACCCATTTACGACTACAGGTGTCGACTACAGGTGTCGCTGGCGTGGAATCTACCTGACCAGCTACCCTTTACACAGCAAACATCATCTTCGTGGGAGAAGACAAGGTACGTAGATATTAGGAAATAGTGTCACTCGACAAATATCTAACTAGTCAACTCAGTGAGGCCGGTGTTATGGCTTCTGAGTATGTGGGCAGTCAGGTTGTTGATTGTTGTTCAAGTGTTGTTAAGTTATATGTTAACCGTGGTGTTCATCTGTTGTTCCTATGCCAAGGCTGTTGTGCCTTCAAGGATATTTCTGATCAGTTTGTGTTTTCTTTGTCCAGATTGTGTTTTAAGCTTGTGTTAGTTCAGATTTAAACTGAAAGGTGTAGGGGATTCATTTTGAATTTAAGTATGTCGGTCACAGGATGTCTGACTTCAGTGTTTCATGTTCTTAGTTTCTGGTGGGGTGGGGGGCCTCATTTCAACCAGACCAGTATGGGGGATTGGGTACTGATGACTCTGCCTTTATGCTGGTTATTTCAATGTACATGTGTATTCAAAAACGCAAAGGTTATATACTTTTGTTCCTATCCATGTGATCCACTTCGAAAGGGGATTCCACGAAGATGCCACCGCACTCTGCATCCACAGACACGACTGTTTAGAAATAAGTTTTATTCATGCACCATGCTCAGGTCATGTTACTCTGCGTGCCTAGATCAGAAGCTATAAACTGATTATTTGTGTGATTGTTTTTAAACACTTGGTGTGAAACAACTCTGGTCTTGGCATGGTGTATAGCTAGTGCTGACATCAGTCATTACTACGAACAGATTAATGTGGCTTTTGTTTTCCACAGTCGGACTGCAAGACATGTGCCGGTACTCGCAGATATTCAAAAATATAAGATGAAAAACGTTTTAATTATATTGAAAAACGATTTAACAAACCAGTCATCCACTTTCATAATGTGGGAAGCTGTTTCTCTTGTTTTGTTGTAATCTCATAATGATCGTTATATGTTGCCATCAACAACGAAGCGTCATTTTGTGAATCGGTGTACCGGGTATATAGAATTATTCACCCGTAGGGTGAGATGATCAGGGTCTAAAAAGCCTGAAATTCAACTACCCCTGAGGATAACTTTAAACAATTTCTTCACAGAGCTAGAATTGGAGTTGAGAATTTGCATGAATGTAATCTCGTTTCAACATCTTTCACCCCACCTACAGACACAGGATATAATTGGTCTGAAGCAACCCATGCTTGTCGTAAGAGGCGACCAACAGAATGAGATGATCAGGCTTGGTGACTTGGTTGAGGCATATCATTGTGTCCCAATTGTGTAGATTGATGCTCATGATGTCACCTGACGCGATTATTTATAGACCTCTGTCATATACCTGGACTGTTGCTATAGTGCAGCGTGACACAACAAAGTCGCAAGTTAGAAATTAACCAGAAATGTTTAGTGGCCTGAATAGTGATAACGTATCACACCCTTTCAATGCTACCAAATTTTTTTAAAAGGACAGAAGTTCTACTCCCGTCAAGAATGTCACTATCCCTAGGGTTTGTCAAATTGACATTGGCTAGCAACATGGTGCAGATTACTATGCTTGTTAGCAGTGCTGAGAAATCAAGTCCCTCTGAGTGCCCACAAGGTTTTCATTTACCTTAATCCATGGATCCCCTACAATCCCCATGGAGATTCCTGGTTAGAATGGGTCCCCAGCAACCTATGCCGATCAATACAAGGTGACTAAATTGATGGGGTGGTCAGCAAACTTGGTTTGTTAGTAGCAAGCACTGGATTGTCTGGTCCAGACTCGCTTACTTACAGACCGCTGTCATATAGCTTGAATAGTGCTTAGTGGGCTGTTAAACAACAAACAAACAACATGGTGTGGGAAAAAGAAGTATCTTCGGCTGGCCCTGGCGTCTTTGCCAGCAATGCACACACTACTAGAGCAGCTTATGTCTCCCACAGGAAGCCCAGGGTCTCATAAACAACAAACACACAATTAACCCTTGGTGTTTGACTGAATATTTGACAAAATTTGAGATTTGTGAACCTGTCATGCCTGTATGGGCAGATTGATGATTGAACAGGTGTCTTGACGAGGCAGGCGGCAGGTTAAGCAATCATACCTGTGTTATTAGTTATAATAATTACCCAATTAATCATCTTAATCATCCATGATGAAATGCTGACACACGTCTGAATGCTCAGTGGATTTAAAATATTTACGTAATATAATATTACATTTTGTACATTTTTTTTTGCTATCACGGGTGTATACTAAGAATTATTTAGTTATTCAACTAAAGGCCAAAACATTAGTATAATCTTTGTTACAGTATGCTTGGTATGATCACATTAGCGCTACGATCACTTTGCGGAAGGGGCGGTCGGGTAGCCTAGTGGTTAAAGCGTTCGCTTGTCACGCCGAAGACCCGGGTTCGATTCCCGACATGGGCACAATGTGTGAAGCCCATTTCTGGTGTCTCCCGCCGTGATATTGCTGGAATATTGCTAAAAGCGGCGTAAAACCTTACTCACTCACTCACTCACTTTGCGGAATGGGGACCCAGATCTTTCAGTTTGGCCAAAAATGATGATAGGATGCAGGATTATTGGCTGTTTTTTTTGTGCATTTTTTTTTAGACAAGTTCATTTGCACGATATTAAGAGTCTTTGTATTCTGGAGGAAAGGCAGTGTAGTCTCAGTTATTAATATTCCCTTTTCGCAACGATTCATAACCGCTCGGTAGAGTGATGTCCAAACTGCACTCAAGAAACCCCAAAGGCCTTATCATCCTCCACACACACACAGAACCTGCAGACATGAGAGAAGTTGTACCTGATGTACAGTTTGTAGGTTCGTTATGGGGAAAGCAGGTTAGTGTTAATTAACTGCCCTTGGTAAAAAGTCTGCAGGTGGAGTTAATGGAAGACCTCGGCCTTCTGCAAATGATAATTCCCTGAAAAATAGCGTTACCCTTATATTATTTGCATGGGGAAATGAAATGACACATTTGAAGTTATCATGGATGTATGTGGTTTCAACCTTTACTACGGTTGGAGTTCTGGGTCTGAATAGATCCCCAGCTCTCTCCGTTAGCTGTAACAGCTGATTTATGTGGATAAGCTCATTATAATGTTGAAAGGTTTGGTTGAAAGTGTGTGATATGACCCCAAATGTTTGGTCTGACTGACTGACTGACTCTCACTTATTGGGTGACCTATGACTGTCATGGAACATCCTCCTCACTCCACTCCATTCCGCTTCTCTCCCCTCTGCTTCTGACCCATGAAGATCCGGGTTAGACTTGGTCTTCAGCAACCCATTGTCGTAAGAGACAACTATGCTTGTCATAATAGGCAACTATGCTTGTCGTAAGAGGCGCCTATGCTTGTTGTAAGAGGCGACTAACAGGATCGGGTGGTCAGGCTCGCTGACTTGGTTGATGCATGTCATGGTATCCCAATTGCATAGATCAATGCTCATGATGTCAATAACTAGATTGTCTAGTCCAGACTCAATTATTTACAGCCTGACATCATATAGCTGGAAGATTGCTGAGTGCTGTGTTAAACAAGAAACAATCAATCAAACCCTTCTGCTTGTCCCAACTCTGCTTAGCTCCACTCCACTCCACTCCACTCCACTCCACTCCACTCCACTCCCTGGCTGTCAGGCTCCCAGTGTGACGGTTACAGGTTCATCGTCCCAGACTCTGATATGACCCTGTGTCAAGAACTGGAACACGAGACATTCAAAAGATCTTGAGTCACAGCTGCTGACCTCCAAGACAATGAAATCTTCATGATGTAAGTTTAAAGTTAAACACAGGTGCAAAATCTGGAATATGTGTTGGAATTAGCTCCCTATAAGTTACAAGATGAGGTATCTTAGCTTTTTAATTTTATTTTAACTTCAGTTTTGTTTGATTGTTTTTAAAACAAGTCCTCAGATGAGATATTTAATATTCTGCTGCTCTGTGCACATATAGTGAAAGATAAAAAGAGAATGACAGGTCTGTATCTCAGGATCATAAAAGGGATGCAGTGTTAAGAAGAAGGACCATACTTTGACATCTCATATATTTGCAATGTTCCCAGTCTGGAAAGAACTTTGGGCTTTCTGTCCACATTAAGCAGACATGCCGTAATATAACCAGAATACTGTTAAAAACGGTGTTAAACCCAACTCACTCCCTCACTCACTCTGGAAAGAGCTATTAATGTACCGGGTATTGGTTTAAATCGATGATCACTAGATGAGTGAGTGAGTGAGTTGGGTTTAACACCGCTTTTAACAGTATTCCAGTTATATCATGGCATGTCAGCTTAATGTGGGAGGAAAGTCTGAAGTAATGCAGGTCTCAGACATTTACCACTTCGGTGAAACCCACGAGCACGGGTATGGTGCTGACAAACCTAGAAACATAACCAGGCGAACCGGGATTAGAACCCACAATCATAGGTTTCTGGCATGCCCAAGGGACGCAACTCTGCACAGCGAATCGTGGCGCCTTAGATGACTGGGCCACCCGTGCCCCCTGTTTACTATGTGAAACCACTCAGCATTGGATGGGGATACTGAGATATGAGAGGACAACAACTTGTTGAATTGTATTTTATTAACTTGCAATAAAGATAAACATGCTTAAGTTGATTACTCCCGTAGGAATTCTGCTTTAGACTTGGCCCCAAGCAACCTATGCTGGTCGTAAGAGGCGACCAAATGTATTGGGTGGGTGGTCAGACTCGGTGACCTGGTTGACTGAGTGTCATCGTAGCCTGACGTTGTGGATTGTTGCTTACAATATCAATCACTAGATTGTCCAGTCCAGATTCATACATTCTTTTACATCAGGCCATGGGCATGTAGCTGGAATATTGAGTGTGTCTCATTTAACAGCAAACAAACATTACAATCCTCACATAGACATTGGGAATATCCCTGTCAAAAGTTGAGCAGTATATTGCAAACACTGGCAATGCCCCATTTTAGGTGAGACATTATCACGAGACATTATCACAAGACATAATCACAAGACATTATCACGAGGCATTTAAACATCCCCCAGGTGGGTATTTGGTAATTCTATGA